TTCCTGTGGAAATGGCATTTTGCTCCCATGTATCTAGGTAACTCCCTTATTTTTAATTTTCTTCCTTGACATGGGACATTTGGCTTCCATTACCCTCAATAATATTTATTCACTCGTTTGCTGGAGCCTAGAATCAGAAAATACTTTCAGAATTGTTCATTAGACTTCAATATTTGTACACCAGTTTTTTTCTTTTGAGGGAATTTACATAGAATGAAATGCCAAAACCTTAAGTGTGCCATTTAATGAGTTCTGAAAAAGACATATACCTGTGCAAACCAAACCCCTGTCAAAATACAAAGCATTATCACCATCTCAGAAAGCTCCCTCCTGGCCCTTTCTAGTCCACCCAACCAATAGAGGCAAGCATTGTTATGATTTTGTTTTCATTATAGATTAGTTTTAGTTATAACTTCATTTAAGTGGAAAAATACAGTGTACTTTTTGGTTTCTGGTTTCTTTTTCTCCACAAGTTTTCATGGCCCCAAAAATATCCTATCTTGGTGAATATTGCATGTGTACTTGAAAAAAATGTGAATTCTGCTGTTGTTTGCTGATGTCTTCTATAAATATCAGTTATGTCAAGTTGGTTGTTAGTACTGTTCATGTACTTTACATCTTTATTGATATTTTGTCTACTTGCTCTGTCTCTTACTGAAAGGGAAGTGTTGAAATCTCCAACTGTAATTGTGAATTTGTCTATTTCTCCTTTCAGTTCTGTTTTTGCTTTGTATACTTTGAAACTCTATGATTAGATGCATTCCTATTTAGGAAGTTATCCCTTTTTGATGAAATATCCATCTTTTATCTTGATAATATTCCTTGTTCTGTAATTCACATTGTCTGATATTAATATAGTGACTTCATCTTTCTTTTGATTAGTGATTGTTATTCTTTTTCCATCCTTTTACTTTTAACTGATCTATGTCTTTATATTTCAAATGGATTTCTTGTAGATAGCATCAGTTGGGTCTTGACTGATTTTTTAAAAATTCAATATAATAATCTCTGCCTTTTAATGCAGTGTTTAGAGCATTTACATTTAATGTTTTATAATTTGGGTTAGGTTTAAATTTATCATATTGGTCATTTGTTTTTATTTGTCTATCTGTTCTTCATTCCGTTTTTATTTATTTTTGCCCTCTTTTAGATTACTTTATAGTACTCTAATTTTAATTCCTCTATAGGCCAACTATACTTTAGATACCTCTATTTTCCTTTTATTTATTTTTCTCACAATATGTATCTATCACATTCTACTTACAAATTATACTACTTCATGTATGTTGTATATATACTTACAACAGTATATATCCAGTCACCCTTACTTTATATTGGTAACATGTATTTTACTTTTTTGTTATAAATCTCAGAGATCACTGTTACTGTTTTTTATTTAAATGGATAATTATATTTCAGAGAAAATTTTTAAACAAAAAATTGATTATATTAACTTAAATATCCACCATTTCTGGCACTTTTTGTTCCTTTTGTGTGAATTTGAATTTCCATCTGGAATCATTTTTTGTTTAATCTTAAGAATTTCTTTAGTATTTATTATACTTCAGGTATGCTAGCAACAAATTCTCTCATCTTTTTTTTGTCTGATAATGCCTTTATTTCACCATTAGTTTTTGAAAAAATTTTTGCTGCATATAAAGTTCTAGATTGACAGTTTTTCCTTTCAGAACTTTGAAGATTTCATTCCATTATATTCTGGCTTACATTCTTTCTGATGTGAAGTCAATGGTAATTCTTGTCTTTGTTCCCTAAATACAATGTGGCTTTTTCTCTGGTTGTTTCTAATATTTTCTTTTAATAATAATAATTATTATTATTTAGAAGTTTCAGTGTAATATGCCTAGGTGAGAATTTCTTTATGTTTATCCTTTATTGGATTGCTTTGTTTTCTTGGATCTATGAGTATAGTTTTCACCAAATTTAGAAAATTTTTGGCCATTATTTCTTCACATATTTTTTATTTCATCTCCTCTCTTTATGGGTCTGTGATTACACATATGATAGATAACTTAGTATTGTTCCACAGGTTGTTAAGGCCCTGTTCATTCTATTTTCATCTTTTCCTCCTTCTGCGCTTTTGTGTAGATAATTCTTTTGCACTGTTTCCTCATTTACAGATGTTTTCTTCTGCAGTGTCTAAACTGCTTTTAAGCCCATCCAGTGATATTTTCATTTTGGATTATTGTATTTCTCTGCCCTAGAAGTTCATTGGTTTTCTTTATAGTTTCTATTTTTTAATTTTATCTGTTTTCTTTCATATTATGATCACATTTATAATAACTGCTTTAAAGGTCCTATCTGCCAATTTTATCATCTTTGTCATTTCTGGGTCTGTTTCTATATATAGATTTTTCTCCTGTTTATGGTTCACATTTTCCTGCTTCTTCACCCATATAGTAACATTTCACTGGATACTGGATACTGTGAGCATTACATAGTTTAGTGCCTGGATTTTGTTGTCTTTCTTTAAAGATTGTTAAGTTTGGTTCAAGAAAGAGGTTAATTTGCTTGCAGATTAGCTTTTTCAGCTTTGAGTGGGTCTTAAATAACCTTTACTCCTGGGCTAGTTTAGCCTCATCTCTAAAGTGTGGCCTTTCTGAGGCCTCTCTGCCAAATGTCCAAGGTGTTTAATAAGGTTTCACTATTCCAATTGGTTAGAACTTGAATGTTTCCAAACTCTATTCAAGCTTTAGTAGTTGCTCAGCTTACTGTTCCCCAGTAATTGTTATTTAATCAGTCTCATGGACTCTATCCTTAAATGTACATAAAATATTCAAGGATACTCATATTTTTGGAGCTCTTTCTCTGGTACTCTGCACTGCAAGCTTCAGTTGCCTTAATTCCAATTTCTTTCTACTGAATTAGCAAGAATACTGTACTCTGCTTGGCTTTCTGGGGAAATCTTTGGACTCATCTTATTTGTTTTCCTTATTTGCAGGATGATAGTCTTACTCTACTTATTGTCTAATGTATGAAAACACTTGTTTCATAGATTTGGTCCAGTTTTCTATTGTTTGTGATAGGAAGGTTAGGCTGTTACCAGTTATTTATTCATGGCTGGCCCACCCATAACATTTTTAAAATGTAAAATGTAAATATAAAATACATACTGAAAAATTGCATAAATTGATGAATTTTCATTAACTGAACATACTGGTGTAATTAACACCCAGATGAAGAGGAACATTATTAGAACGCCAGAAGCCCCCTAGTGGCCCTTTCCAAACATTGATACCACCTAAGGATAACCAATATCCTGGCTTCTATTATATATGATTTTTGTCTGTTTTTAAACAGACAAAAGTGAAATCATGTAATATACAATTTTTGTATCTGGCTTCTTTCACTCATTTTTTGTGATTATGAGATTCATCTATATTTTTTGTGTAGTTTTAGATGATTCATTCTCTTCCTGTATAGTAGTCTTTTTGTGAACATATGAATACTTTTTCTGTTGCATATGTACCTAGGAGTGGAATTTCTCAGTTAACCCATTCCAAACACCACCAAATTTATACAATCCGTCTATACATTTCTTCTAACTCCAGATTTATATATCCAAATCTGTTTGAATCTCTGTTTACAAGCATCTCAAACTTCTATCCAGAACCATTTGCTCCCTGAATCAGTAAATGGCTTTCTACTCCATTTTGTTACTTAAGGAGCCATCCTTAATGTTTCTCTTTTCTTTACCCTTCCTGGCAACTCAATCCATTAAGATCCTGGGATTCCATCTTTGATTTATACATGTCTCAAAATTATCCAACTTCACTGTTTAAACTGCTATTACCCTAGTTCAAGCCACCATCATCTCCGGCCTTGACTTAAGTAATTGCCTCCAAACTGGTCTTCCAAACTACTCCCCACAAACAACCTGATGTAAATCAGATTTTGCTTAACAGTGTCTATTAGTTGCCCACATTCTTTAGGATACTTTCCAAAATACAGTCTAAAATCTAAAATGCGGCCAATAAGAGACTGCATGGTCTAGCTCCTATCTCATCTCAAACCAAGTTTGATCCCTATTCCCCAACCACACTGACTTCCTTTCAGTTCCTAGAACGCATAAGTTCTTTCATGCCTCAACAACCTCACATGAAATGTTTCCTTGGCTTGGAATATTCTTTAAGGCTTCTTCATACGCCAGGAGTTCAAAAGGTACTTTTTCAACGAACTCTTCCCTGGTAATCCAGAATTAATCCATCATTGCACCCACTGATTTTCCTTCATTGTACTGGTCACAATTTATAATTAGGTAGTGATTTATGCTTTAGCGTCTCTTGCTCCTATTACACTTTAGATTCCATCCAGTGTTATGTTCACTCCTATAATCCAAAGCCTAACCCTTTGCTTGGCACAAGGGACATGGTCAATGAGTGCTTGTTTAATAATGCATGACTGATGCCAAAGCTGGAAGGGACTACAAGGCCAGTAGTTGGCATTTCTCTGCCAAGGTGAGGTGCCTCTTCTTGTCTAGATGAGGCAGGATATTTTCTTGCTCACTCAGAAATCTTGTCCCTGTTCCTTGGATAACTGTTTGCTGTGGGCCTGTGTGAGAGACAAACTGCCGGCAGATACAGGCGGCAGGCGAGAGAGATTAGCCTTATTTGTGAGGGGCAGCATAGTCTGTCACCGAAGGCCTTGGCAACCTCTTGGCGCAGGTGGATGAAAAGCTACCAATCTTTCCTGGATGGGGGCGGGACTACCTCAGGCCCGGGCAGGGCGGGTCAGTATGTTCTTCCCATTGAACCTGATTGGCCTGGGCCAATCCCCCTGGGGAACGGGGGTGGGGTTTGATCCTGCGGCCGCCAGCCACGTTGGATGCGGGGCTGCCCCGCGGATAGGCCCTTCCCCAGCCCCACAATGCACTGCGGGCCGCGTCACTCGGAGCGGCGGGTCCCAGCTCGACAGGTACTGCCCGGCCCCTCCCAGCCCTCGTTCCTGCCTTCTGAGGGTCTCTGGGACCCCTGGCCATCCGCTGCCCTCGTTCTTCCCGCCTCCTGCCACGAACTCGGGCCCCGCCCCGGGACTGCAGACTTGCCCCCTGCAGGAACCCAGCCCTTAGGGGGCGCGAGCCGGGTGTCGTTAAAGCCGCGGAGCTCTGGAGGGGCGGGATTGCGGGGACTTCGTACTCTTCGACTTGGTTGTGCGGGGAGCGCGAGCAGCGGTTGCCCCTCGGCCGACCTGCCCTGAGTAGGCGGCAGCCCGGGCAGGGGCTCCGAGGGGGAGAAACGGTCGCTTGGGCTGCCAGCGGTGGAGAGGTAGGGGGAGCATTCTCGGGCTCCCAGGTCTATCAGAAACACGGGGATCCACCGAGGCGCCGTAAGTGGCCCGGAGAGCTTGGCGCGGCGTTTCTTGTTTCTTTTAGGCAGGGTGGGATTTGAACCTGAGCCTTCCTTTGCGTTTTGTGGGAATTGAGTGAGCATTGAGCCCAGAGTTGCCCGCGTTAGCTCACGGAAACCTGTTAAGGCCCTACTGGCACTTTAGGAACAATGTGGGATAAGGGAGACCTGAGCAATCGTCTCGGCAGGTGGAAGAGGGCTCCAAAATAGGAGGCCAAGCCCCAGCCGGCTTGAATCTCTCTGCCAGTGAAAACAGCTTTGGACTTTTCATCTCCTTAGTTTCTTGGATCATCCACTTGGACAGTTCAAGAGCTTGAGAACCAGTACCTCCTATTCCTGTTCAGCCAAGACAAGTCCAGGGCTAAAGTGTCAGCCATCAGACCAGCTAACAGGTGGAACAGCACTTGTTGAAACTCGTCTGAATCTCCTTCTGCGTTATTGGCATTTGCTCACATGCTGAAATTATAAGCAGTTAGGCAGTACCTTGAACAGTACCTACAATTTCTGGAATATGAAGGTTGTAGTTAAGAATCTGGGTAAATAGTTCTTGATGGTAAGAACTTCATATTGCTAATGTCTGGCATAGTCCCTGACATATAGTATGCACTCCATAGATGCTTGTTAATCAGGCATAAAAGAATGCAGTCTACTTTTAAATCCCAAGAATATGGATGTTTGGAAACTGAATGATTGTGTTGCAGTATACTTCTGGAAAGACTAGTTTCATATTTAAATAATAAGTGCTTAAGAGTATGAAGTAAGACACTTTCCTCCTTTCTTAACACTAGGCAGCATGTTACGATTGTGGCTTAATAGTTAAATAAAACATGGTAATAATTTTAAAAAGAGGTTTATAATACAGATATTATCCCTTGCAAGATCCCAGCTTTCTCGCTACTGCTTTTAGAAGAGAAAAGAAACTTGATTGAATAGGGGAAAAAAATGATTTGGGTATGTCATGTTGGAACTTTAGTTTGAAGGTTCCATAATGGTGTAGGCTAATTTAATTCCTGTTGGTTTTTTTCCTTTTAAGTGAGCAGAGGAGAAAAATCTTAAAGAGTAATGACGTATTAATACTTGTCCATTTCTCTCATTTTACTCATGGAAAGAGGAAAAAGGAGGGGGGTAAATTTAATGCATTAGCTTTATTATTTGGGTTAATTTTTATTGTCAGTTACCATCATGAATGGGCTGTCAGATTTGGACTCCACGCCGCAATGAAAACTAGGGACTACTGATTTTCAACTTAGTACCAGTTTGTTTTCTGTGATATTTTTTGATATATTACTAACTCCATTTTTCACTTTTGGAATGAGATAATATTGACCTAGCTGAATTAGGCAGGTAAGGATTTGTCTCTGGGCTACAATATCTTGAAGAAAGCCTATGAAATTGTTAACTAAATTTTTCAGTTTTCACCAGTTGCTCCTACTGTTAGTGAAGGAGAAGTATTTAATGGTATTGGGCTCTGATGGCCTGGCAGGAAAGGGTTATCAGTTAATTTCAGACTGTGATTATGTTTTAGTTCAACGTTTTTACAAGTCTGATCCTTAGGCAATAAGCATTGTACCTGGAGTCTAAATTGAAGACTCTCAAGCCCCACCTCTCAGTCAATGGGTCAGAATTTTGGGGAGTGGGCCTAGAAATCTGAATTTATAACCAAACTGTCAGTGGCTTTTATATAAGCTAAAATTTGAGAATTACTATATACTTGTTACCAATGTTTCTGTTTACCTGATTTCTTTCAGACCTGGCCTATGAAGTTCTTTTATCAGTTTTTGTAAGGCATAATCAGAATATAATAAAAGAGGTCATTATGATTTACTTTCTGGTAAACAGATTGAGAACAATATTAAAACCAGTATTCCTTTACATTAAATTTATGTTAACTAAAAATATTTTCTGATTATCAAAGTAATATATGCTCATTGTGGAATATTACAGAAATTTAGGAAATTATAAAATGATACCAATTACCCATAATACTATTTCCTGGAGAAAAGCATTATTCTAATTTTGGTTTTCTTCCAGGATCTGTTTCTTCATTTATCCCTACCTTTTTGTTTTTATGGAAAATAACAATTGTATTTTTTTTATAAAGGTATTATGGATATACACTCTTATGAATGTTTCACATGAAAAAAGCAATGTGGTTACTACATTCACCCATATTATCATGTCCCCCCTTACCCCACTGCAGTGACTGCCCATCAATGTAGTAAGATGCCACAGTCACTATTTGCCTTCTCTGTGCTACACTGTCTTCCCCGTGATTTCCCCGACACCATGCGTGCCAATCATAATACCCCACAAATCCCCTCTCCTTCTCTCCTGCCCTCCCCCACCCCACCCCTTTGGTAACTGCTAATCCGTTCTTGGCATCTGTGAGTCTGTTGCTGTTTTGTTCCTTCAGTTTTGCTTCATTGTTATTCTCTACAACAACATTTGTATTTTTTATCCTGCATTTTTTCTACCTGATATATAAGCATTTATCACATTATTAAACTTTTTTCACAAACATAACTTTTAGTTGCTTCATTATATTCCATCATAGGGGTATACTGTAATTTATTTAACCTTTTCCTTATTATTGGATGTTTAGGTTGCTCTCAGTTATTTCTGTTGAAAGTATCTGTTTAATTATCTGAATCTGATTACTTTCCTTAGGATAGGGTTATATATTTAAATTTATTGAGGTCAAAGGGCATAAATATTTTTAAACTTGTTGAATAGCACCAAATTGTTTTGAGAATGGTGTTTATTCCAGTATTTTCTTTAGCATCTTCTGAGAATGCCAGAAAGAAGCAAGTAATAGTATTTTTTTTAAATCTAATTCATTAAGGAAAGCATAGTATGTTGTTCTTATTAGTATGTCTTTGATTATTAGCGAGTTGAACATTTTTGTCCTGTGCTTATCAACTTTGTTTTAAGTTTTTATCTAACCCAAATTGTCCATTTTGTTTTAGGTCTTCTCTGTCAGTTGAAATGTCTATGATTTTATCTGCCTCAGTCATTCGTGTCAGAGATGGACTGCCACTTTCTGCTTCTACTGACTATGAACAAGTCACAGGTGTGCAGGAATGCAGAAAGTATTTTAAAGTGCTCTCGAGGAAACTTGCTCAGCTGCCTGATAGATGTACACTGAAAACAGGACATTATAATATAAAGTAAGACTTGAGTTTACTCCATTAGAATCACTTGCTTATTGTTTGTCATTTTAATGAAATTTAAGTAGTTGCAATGGAAATTAGGCTTTGCTTAGTTTAGGAAAACTTGTTCAAGTCAAGAATCATGTGGTTCTGAACTTGCACCAAATAGTGGTCACTGTGTCATCCCCCTTTTTGCAGTGTCTCTGTGTTTATATCTGGCTTTAGAAAATTTTATAGATTTTTAATCACAGATATTCCGTGTTACAAGTTGATAACTAGGTGTTTACTGGTGTTTTTATATGTCCTGGCAACTGTAGTGGGAAATATAAAAAAATTGTACATGAGACCTGCCCTCAAAGAACTAAAGAACTTTACATTGTAGTGAGAGAGGAAAGCACTTATAACTATTGCATATAAAGAAAGTAAAACTGGAGGCCAAGGGCTTCTCTGAGAGGGTGATATTTGGGGGTGACCTAAAGATGAGGAAGAAGATAGTCATATGAAGGATGCTGTGGTTGAAGAGCAACTCAGAAGCAACAGTCAGTGCAGAGGGCCTTCCATACAGATAACGGGATGGAAAGAAAACTGAAACAATGTAGACAATTAATAGAGTGGCAGAAAGTGAGGTCAAAAAGGTAAGAATGGGGCAGTTTATGTAGGGCCTTCTAGGCTGTGATAGAGAGTTTGGATTGAGTCTAATGCAATAGGAAGCCATTGGAGAGTTTTAAGCTAGAAAATTATGTATTCTGATTTTGGCTTTGAGTAGATCATCCTGGCTACTCTGTGAACAACGGGCATTACAGGAGAAAGAGTGGAAGCAGAGAGATCATTTAGGAGACTCTAGGAGAGGTTCAGGTAGAGGTGATGTTTATGACCTGAAGGAGGGTAATGATGAAAAGTGCTTGGATTGCGCCATATTTTGGGAGTAGCATCAACAAATCTTCCTAATGGATTGAAATGGCATGTGAGGGGAGGAGAATTATCAAGAGTCACCTCTAGATTTTTGACCTAGAGAATGTCCATAATTACTTGGTGAATAAGGCTGAAATTAAACTGGAGGATGTGTATTCCAGAGATAAAATCAAGAGTCTATTTGGACATATTAATTCTTAGATGCCCATCAGACATCCATGGCACTGTCAGGTTGGCAGCTGGATGTGTAAGTCTGAAGTTTACTACAGAGATTTAGATTTGGGGGTCGGCTTACAGTTTATAATTAAAACCTTGGGGATGGACAAAACCGCCTTGGAGAATATACACTTGAAACGTTTACAGAACAGTTAACTCATGAACAGTTTGGTACTGATTGTGCTAACTACAAAATCACATCAGAACAAGGTTCATATGGGTATAATAAGGAGAGGGCTTACTTATTGAGATGACACATGCACCGTGTCCTGAAGAATTGGTAAGCTTTGCCTAAGGCAGAGAGGAGCACCTTTCAGGTGTAGGGAGGAGAGGCAGAGTAACTGAAGCATGTGACTTAGCATGCTAGGTGCATTAATTTATTTGGCCTGGTGTAGTGAATGGTGATTTAGGGATAGTTACGGGAAATGTCACATGATTAACATGGGACCAGATCCTGAATGTCACTTTGATATGATAGGTTACGGGAAGCTATTACTGTAGGTTTGAGGGAAGTGACTTGATGAAAAACAATGGTGAGAAGTGAAATACAAGGTGAAATGGAAAGTCTGAGAGGAGAGAGGTGAGTTTATAATTAGGGCCTGAACTAGTAAAATACAAGTGCAAATGAAAAAGAAAATGTCAACCACAAAGACACTTCAAAAGAAGAAATGGTTAATATTGGTAAGATGGAATACCAGAAATGAAGAGAGAAAGGGACAAAGATTACTGAAGCTTTGGAATTGAATGTAATGAGGTCTTTGGAAATGGTTGCTTTTGGGATGTGAGGAAGAAGAAGAGAAGGAAGCTCCAGTTTGGGCATTTAAAAAAATTTAAATAGTGTTCATCCATGGAGTATTAGTTTCCAAATATTCTATAATCTCATTTATAAGAAATTTATATGAATGCTTTGATTTAGCTTGTGCTAAATTATTTTTAAAAGTTGTAGCTTTGAGGCATTTATTATAAAAAGCTGGTACTCATAAACTAGTAACTTAAAATTCATACATTTGCTTCACTTTTTAGCTTGACCTTCTAGTAAATCTTTAGATTCATTGATTTTGTCTGCTGTATAAGGAGATGATCCTCCCTTGTCTGGATGATTTAAGAGCATAATTCATTGATGAGCAGCTCTTATTTTTCTTTTACTGGCAGTAGGGCTTACACCTAGTATTAATGTGGCTTCCCATTTTGTCATTTTGGGTTCAAATCCACCTCTGTAACAGCCACCACTGAAGGCAGATTTTGGCAGACTTTGGAAAACTTGTTTTACTTGAGGCTCCCTGTGCTTCATGACTTGCAAAACATAATGGCCTGCAAATCCCGCAGCAGCAGTGGTCAGTCCAACTGCTACCACTGTGCTGGCCATGGCTCTGGTGCAGCTCATCCCAGCCCAGAGGCCGCAGCCACCCACCCCATGCATCTACCAGGATGCTATGCAGCCACCCCCAGCAAGCATAAACCACCCAGATATGGGCAGCCTCCATTTTGAGCATTTTAATTGTTGTGACCAGGTAGTGCATTGGAGGTGGGATAGAGATTTTGGAATTTTAACATGGAAGTTAAAACTGTGAGGGTAAAAATGCTCACTGAGTTTTCTAAAGGCCCACAATAGAACTTTAGGGAACATCCGTAGTAACTTGGGTCATCTAGGTAAAGGTAAAATAATGAATTGTTATCTTTAACTAGGTTTTCTGAGCATTTAACTGGAAAATGTGGTAGTGGTGGTGGTTCAAATATATCTAAATTGATAGCCTACTTCTATTTTCTGGAGAAAAAAATTAGAAACATTTTAATATTTAATAGACTGTTTTAGTGCCCTTGTTCATTATTTTGAGTATTAACTGTTACTGTATAGTGCTGTAGACAGAAGTCAACATTATAGGAGATTAACTTGAATGTATATTAATTCTGGTAGATATCCTGGACTTTAAAAAAAAGCAACAACTTCTTTTTAAATGTTTTTTGTTCCTGTACCTTATTCTCTTAAAAATAGAGTAGAATGTAGTAAAATTCTTAATACCCCTCCAGTTCTGTTTCACTGTTGTGAATTCTAGATCTAAATAATTTCTTTCACCCCATCTTATTCCACAAAATATATAAAGCGACTTACAAAAATGTGATTTAGTAGTACAGGGAAGAGAATTATATGAAGGAAAAAGTAAAGTAGGAAGATAATAATAAACTAAAGTAACATTTCCTTCTTAAGATGCAAACTACATAGTCTGTTCATGTGTTGAAAGGGGCTACAAATATTGCTCTTATCTTTTTTGTTGCCAAAACAAAAGGGGTTAATGGATTATTTATAGGATTCACAGTGGCCATTGGATAAAAACATTGCCTTTCATGTTAACTGAGACCTGATGTACCTAAAGAGGCACAGCATTTGGGTAGCATTTTTCAGCAGCCATAGCAATAAACTCTTTATGATTTTTCTATTAATTCCTTAGTGTATGCAAATGGATTGGTACAAGAAGCAATTTTATGAGAGTTTAGCAGTGGGATGAATCAGCAGTGGTCTAATCTGGCCTCATTTAAGAATACAATGTAGAAATGTCTAAAGGAATAAATAGATTGCATGGCCTTCAGAACCACACATAGAAAAGCCTCTATGCATGTTATTTTTATAGCTAGGTTTTTGAAAAGATTGAACAGATTTTTAATTCTAGTTCCTAACAAGAACCTAGATTTTATATATTTTCTATCACGGATTAGAGGTATTGTTCATTAGTTTCGTGTTTACCGAGGTTTTCATGCTATGAAAAATTTAGATTGAAATGTATAAAATTGGGAGTGTGTTTTCATGTGTTAGTTGACTTACTTAATATTCTCACGTGACAACTCTTTTTCTGACCACGAGTTTGCTAGATAAAACTCATAGATCTGCGGTGGTGCTATTGTAGGACAGCCTGAAACTGGCACCAGACTCCTCTCTGCTCTCCTAGCCAAGTTTCTACATGGGTCTCTTTCCTTCAAAGCCCAGTTTATAGCTACTTCTTTTGAATCACTTTTTCCTTGTTATTACTATTTCATTTCTTTAATGGTGTCACTCTCTTCACAGATTGCCTATAGCACTTGTTTGACTTTTTCATCATTTATTTATTTTTCTTATTTTTAATTTATTTTAAAACTTCTATATCCACGCTCCTTAACTAGATTGTAACTCATTGAGATAATTGATCTGCCATGGCTTATATTATTTTTGATTCCTCATCTCTTAGCATTGTGGTTTTCAGAAAATTGAGGTGCTCTCTTTGCAGAATGCCACTGAGAACCAAAACAAAGTAACTAAATGTATAATTATGTGCTAAATCAAGTGGTACCTCACCTTGGATTCTAGTTGAATAGATAGAGGAAGACCAGGTCTTTGAGAAAAAAACTAGAGGACTTACATTTAAAATAGATAAAATTCCTTTAATTTTCTCCTTCTGTGTATTGGGAAAATGATGAAATTCATCAGATTGCAGGGCTGAGTACTGCATTTCAGCAAATAGAACTCATTCTGTGAAGCATGTCTTGTGCTGGCACAATGCTGTGCATATTGTAACATAGTAGCTGCTAAGTGAAGGATGGCTGTTTTGAGGTATGGCAGTGTTCAGAATGCCATAGACTTTGGTCTAAGGTTTCATTTTGTCCAGAATTCTTCAACTTGACTTGTTGATTGGGGACAGGGGTGCATAATCCAGTTTTGTTATTTCTTTGTACTTTACATGGTAATCATACAATTCTCTCTGTATAAAATTTTAAGTAATTCATCTGTTTCATAGGTTGAAGGATACCTTCCTTGAATTGTCATAAATGTTTAATATATGAAAATAAGTTGTGCCATACAAGATCTTAAAACTTTGAGATTAATTTTGGGGGTTTAAATATCATAGTTACACATTTTTTAG